TTCAGCCCGGTCGACCGGGATGAAATTCAAGAAACAAAACCAAAATTGTGGAACATATACTTGTCTCGTTCGCGTCTGGTCTGTCGTTGCTTTGTTGACTCTTGTAACTTTACTAATGAAGGTAAATCCCATACTTCTGAAGAGAAGATACATGCAAGACAAAAATTATGCCATTTTGGCAGCTATGTTGCGAAAGCGAAGCTATTTAGTCATAAAAGTTTCGTTCCGGTCACCCGGGCTGGATGTTCATATGGGAAAATTTTCATCACGGTTACCGAGATCTCAAAAACTGAGATCTCAATAACCGGGCCAGCCCGGCTTCTTATATGAACACAACGAAATTTTTACGAAAGAAAGAGTGGAGAGGCGGGATCTCGGAAACTGAGCCATGCCGGTTGACCGGGCTCACATGAAGAGCCGCCCCCCTCCCCTTCCTGGGAGCGCAAACGTTACTGAAGTAGTGCGCTTAACTTCCCAGTTTATGGTATTTATGACGGAAATCTATTTTCAGTTCCTGACCGAAGTCGTGTCACTTGTTTCACTTGAACATAAGCAGCCGAAACCGTCATTGCCGCTTATAAGCCAGCTCCTCCGCTCATTAACCTGTAAGCAAAATATTCCTTCCGATTAAAAGCGCCCCCCCTCCCCCCGATATATGCCCCCTCTAGTTAAAAATAAATGATAAATTCGATTTATTATGATGTTTTAAAGCTCAATTGAAAACCATTTTATGAAAAACGAATTTTGATCGACACTGCTGTGTTCATTTCGAAACGGGTTTTTTTATTCCGCTCATAAGACTTCCCCCCGGATATAAGCCCCTCTGTTTATAAGCCCTTCCAAAACCCCTTATAAGGTTGTATGAGCTCGAGCTTATATATAAGCGGCAGTTACAGTACAGTTACAGTACGCAGACGCAATAAGGTAACAAACAGGCGCTAATTAACGGCATCTCACCCCGCCTGCGTGTATGTCGGCTTATGCTTACACGCTTCAGTAACACTTATTTTCTTTCACAAGGTTTAAAAGTTAAAAACATAAAACACTAAAGACGAAGCTTCCTCGTGTGGACAATTGAAAACGAAAGAAGAAGAACTGAAAAGAACTGATGATGTTCTACACCAAACTCTGGTAGTATCGAATCGGACAGATAAGAGAAAGTGAAGAATTCCTAGAGGGAACATTTACAGGAGTGTACAAAGAAATAGCTTTATAATTAATTGCTAGGAACAAGTGGCAGGACACAGATGAAAGAAGCTGGTGAAGAAAAATAAAAATACGACTCAGCATTTTACATAATAGGTGGCAGAGATGGGACAGCTATTGACTAACTTGCTAAAGCAATTACTAGGAGACAGTGAAACAGATAACACAACGCTGAAGTATCGAGTTAGCAGCCTGCGAAAACAGTTGATCACAGCGAAGCAACAAATGGTAGAATACCAAACGGAAGTGTTTGACTTGCAAAGACAATTACAACGAAGTAGTGCGGACAAAGCAACATCAAAGAAGGAGTTAAGAGAGGAACGAGGACGAGTTATAAACTTAGAAAGACAGTTAAGCACGACAAAGCAACAACTGGTAAGGAGTCAAACACAATTGATTGATCTGCAAAGACAACTGCCAGCGAGAGAGCAGGAAGTAACTGATCTGCAAAGGCAATTGAGTAACTTGCAGGATCAATTAGAAGAAAACAGCACAAATACGACACAAGTGGAGGAGCAGTTAAGTGTGGCATTGCTACGAGAGGCAGACAGAAAAAATCAACTGACCGATTTGAAAGAACAATTACGTGAAAAAATCAGAGCTAGAACCATCTTAAAGGAGCAAGTAAGTGAGGAAAGACATCGAGTTTTTAACTTGCAAAGGCAGTTAAGCACAATAAAGCACCAACTGGAAGCAAAGCAGATGCAATCGACTGATTTGGAAGGACAATTACGAGAAAAGGTCGCGGATATGGCAAACATAGAGGAACAATTACGAAGGGAACAAGAACGAGTTATTATCCTGCAAAAACAGTTAAGCACAACGCAGGAACAACTGGTAGAGAAGCAGAAGCAATTGGCTGAGTTGCAGAGACAACTGACAACGAAGGACCAACAAGTTACTATTCTGCACAGACATCTGACAGTGAGACACCAACAAGTCACTGATTTGCAAAGCCATGTGACAGCAAAGAACCAGGAAGCCACTGAATTGCCAGGGAAACTGACAGCAAGAGACCAACAGATAGCTGAGCTCCAAGGACAACTGGCAGCGAGCAACGAGCAGCTTTCTGATAGGCAAAGACAAGTGACAGGGAAAGAACGACGAATTACTGATTTGCAAGAAGAAGTGAGAGCGAGAGACCAACAAGTTACCGACCTGCAAGGACAACTGGCAACGAGCAATGAACAAGTTACTAGTCTCCAACCACAACTGGTAGCGAGCAATGAACAAGTTACTGATCTGCAAGCACAACTGGCAACGAGCAACGATCAGGTTTCTGATCTACAAGGGCAACTGGCAACGAGCAACGAAGAAGTTTCTGATCTGCAAAGACAACTGGCAGCGAGCAACGAAGAAGTTACTCATCTACAACGACAACTGACAGGGAAAGAGCAGCAAGTTACTGATCTGCAAGGACAACTAACAGCGAGCAACGAGCAAGATACTGGTCTGCAAAGACAAGCTGTAGCAAGCGATCAGCAAGTTTCTGATCTGCAAGGACAGATGACAGGCTCAGCGAGCAACGATCAAGTTACCGAATTACCAAGGCAAATGACAGCTAGAGAAACGCAAGCCACTTATCTTGAAGGAGAAGTGACAGCGCGTGGCCAACGAGGTACCTATTTGCAAGGCCTACTGAGAGAAAGGAACGAACATGTTGCTGATCTGCCAAGGCGAGTGACAGCGGGAGACCAACAAGTTGCTGATCTGGGCGAACATCTGACTGTGAGCAACGAACTGGTTATCGATCTGCAAGAACGATTAGTAGCGAGCAACGAACAAGTTAATGGTCTGCAAAGGGAACTGACAGCGAGCAACCTTCAAGTCACATATCTTGAAGGTGAAGTGAGGTCGAAAGACCAACAAGTTTTTGATCTGCAAGAACAACTATCACTGAGTAACGAACAGGTTTCTGATCTGCAGGGACAACTGGTAGGGACCGACGAACATGTTACTGATATGCAAAGACAGGTGATTGCGAGGGACCAACTAGTCAGTGATCTGGAACGACAACTGGCTGCGAAAGACCGACAGGTTTTCAACCTTCAAACACAGAGAACAGAGAGATACCAACAAGTTACTGATCTTCAAGGGCAAGTAGCTGCGAGAGACCAACTGGTAACTTACCTGCAAGAAGAGGTGACTGCGGGATACCAACAAGTAACTGATTTGCACGGGCAACTGACTGCGAGATACCAGGACGTTACTGATCTACATGGGCAACTGACTACGAGATGCCAACAAGTAACTGACTTGCAAAGACAACTGCCAGCGAGATATCGACAAGTTATTGATCTACAAGGACAAGGGAGAACAAGAGACGAACAAGCTACTGACCTGGAAGGACGACTGACATCAAGAGACCAACAAGGTACAGATCTGGAAGAGGAATTGATAGCCAAAGAAGAACAAGTTACTAATCTTCAAGGGCAACTGACAGCAAGAGACCAACAAGTCAGTTATCTGGAAGAAGAGGTGAGAGCGAGAGACCAACAAATTACTGATCTGGAAAGGCAAGTGACAACGAGAAACCAACAAGTTACTAATCTGCAAGAACAACTGACAGCGAGCGACGAACGAGTTACTGATTTGCAAGAACGGCTGACGGCTAAAGACCAGGAAGTTACTGATCTGGAAGGAGAAGTGACCGAGAGGGATCAACAGGTTACTGACCTGCAAAGAGAACTGGACACGCTCAGAGATCGTGCAAGAGAACAAGACCAGGCTCCCTCCACTGATAATAGTCATGAAAGTCAACGAGACTGGGCAATAAATCGGAATGAAATAATTCTTATGCCAGATGAGCTGCTTGGGCAAGGTGCATGGGGGAGAGTTCTTCGAGGGAAATTCCGTCGTTGCGATGTGGCTGTGAAAGAAATCTATCAGGCCATTCTGTCCTCTCACAACAGGGCGGCTTTTGAGCGAGAAGTGGGCATTGCCTCAAGATGCCGCCATCCTTGCTTGTTGCAGTTTATAGGAGCAGCAAACGACCAAGAAGGGCTACTACTAGTAACAGAGCTCATGGACCGCAGTTTGAGATCATTATATGAAGAGAGACCACTCACCGAAAGAGAAATAACTGTTATTTCGCTGGATGTAGCCCAAGCACTAAACTACCTACACCAGAACAAACCCGAACCCATTATCCACCGTGATATCAGCAGTGCCAATGTGTTGCTTTGGCGACAAGGTGACGAGTGGAGAGGCAAAGTGTCGGATTATGGTACTGCCAATTTCGTCCGTCAGTGTAGGATAGATGATCCTGGAGCTGCGATTTACTGCGCACCTGAGGCCCTCAGTGGAGCACAGAATCTAATCATCAGCTGTAAGGTTAGCTTTTAATTTCACATTCCATAAATAGCCCGGTAGAGGGATGACCTCAAAAATGTTCTCACAGCAACTATCCGGGCCCTGTATCATGACCCGAGGTTCGATGCAATTCTTGATTTTAAAGCACCATCAAAGGCAGTCTGAGCGCGTTCTATTCAACTAAAAATTCCGGAGCTTTTGAAATGGAGACGAATGGTACAGTGATTTCCTGGAACGTTACTGGGGAATCCAAAAATTGTTAATTGATCGAAATCCGATCCATTTGGTTATAGCTCGCCAGGTTTTCCTCTTTTCCCTTCGCCAATGGAAATTTCCAGAAGTGCAAAACTGAACTTTTAGCCAAATGCAATGCGCGCTTTGTCTCGCAAGTCTTGTCCTGTTTTCTGTGGTGATTTGCTAGCTCCAGCTGTACTGTGTTGTGTTTGGATTGTATTTTGAAACACAATCCAAACTTTAACTGAGATTTTTAAAACTCCAGTGATGGTTACTACACATTCCTACTGTCATGCTACAGTAACTATTGAACTGTTGTTATCAGGTCGATGTCTACAGTTTTGGCGTTCTTCTCTGTGAGATGTGTGTCCGGGAATTGCCAGATCCCCAACAGCGAGAGACACAGATATCCCGTATGCAGTGGCGCCAGTTTCAAGAGATCGTAGAACGCTGTGTGCAGATAGAGCCTGGGGGGAGACCAAATATGGAAGAGATTATTGATGCCCTGGACGAGTAGTTTGGAATTGTTTTAGTGTATAGTTGGTATCGTGGTAAACATTTTTAGTCGGATTTCATGCTTGTGATAGTTACTTTGGAATCGCTGAGATATGGCTTTGGCGATGGGTGTAGTTCGTATTTTCAGCCTAGGGTTATCTTGTGTTTATAAATAACATCAAGTGTATACAATTACCAAATTGNCAATTTAGATTGGCGCTACAACGAGATGCAGACAGACTGAACCAACTGACTGATTTGAAAGAACAATCACGCGAACGAAAAAGAGCCAGAGCAACCTTAAAGGAACAGGTACGAGAGGAAAAACATCGTGTTATTGGCCTGCAAAGACAGTTAAGCACAACAAAGCAAGAACTGGTAACGACACAGACGCAATTGTCCAACTTGCAAGGGCAGTTACAAAGAAAGGAGGCAGATATGGCAAACATAGAGGAACAATTACGACGAGAACAAAAACGAGATATTTACCTGCAAAGTCAATTAAGCACAACACAGGAACAACTGGTGGAAAAAGAGAAGCAATTAGCTGAGTTGCAAAGGCAACTAACAGTGATGAACCAACAAGTCACTTACCTGGAAAGACATCTGACAGTGACACACCAACAAGCTACTGATCTGCATGGACAACTGGTAGCGAGCAACCAACAAGTTACTTATCTGCAAGATAAAGTTACAGAGAGAGACCAACAAGTTAGTGATCTGCAAGAGCAACTGAGGCAAACGGACCAACAAGTTACCGATCTACAAATACAACTCACAGCAAGCAATGAACAAGTTACTGATCTGCAAGAACAAGTAACAGCAGGGGACCGGGAAGGTATTGATTCGCAAAGGCAAGAGACCGCGAGCCAAGAGCATGTTACTGATCTGCAAGGACAACTGGCAGCGAGCAACCAACGCGTTACTTATCCGGAAGGACAACCTACAGCGAGCAAAGAACAAGTTACTGAAGTAGATGGACAGCTCGTAAGGAGGAACAAGCAAGTTAATGATCTGGAAGGACAACTGGCAGCGAGCAACGAACACGTTACTGATCAGGAAGGAAAACCTATAGCGAGCAACGGACAAGTTACTGATCTGCAAAAAAAAGTGGTGGCAAGCGACCAAGAACAAGACACAGACCAACAGATTAAAGATGTTCAAGGACAAGTGGCAGTGAGTACCGAGCAAGTTTCTGATCTACAGAGGCAATTGACAACCAGCCACCAACTAGTGACGGATCTGCAAGGACAACTGACTGTGAGCAACGAACAGGTTACTGATCTGCAAGGACAACTGACTGTTAGCAACGAGCAGGTTACTGATCTGCAAGAACAATTGTTAGCGCGCAGCGAACAAGTTAATGGCCTGAAGGGAGAAATGA